TATATTTTATCTGGGAATCCGGGCATTTCTTTTTAAAAATAAATTCAATTAAAAAATATAAAAATATAAAAATAAAATTTAATCCTTTTTAGGATTATATTTTCAAAAAAAATAATTAATAGAGTTTAATTTTATTTTTCATAATTTTTTTTGGTTCGGATTTTCTTTCTTTTAGTTCATTAAAATAAGAAAAAAATAAAAATATAAAAATAAAATTTAATCCTTTTTAGGATCATATTTTCAAAAAAAAAAATAATAATAATCTTGTTAAGTTTTTAAAATCTCTCCCAAATTATCTCAATCATTCAAAAATATTAAGAGTCAACTTTTGAGAGTTAAATTTCTCTCTTTAAATCTTATTTTTTATTTAAAAAAAATGCATACATGTGTGTGTGTGCGTGTGTTAATTCAATTTAAAAAAATTAAAAGCAAAAAAAAAGGCTGGATGAAATGTTGATGGATCAGCATTTCATCACAAGCCTTATGCGGTTCACGTGCAGCTGATACACACATAGAAAAAACACAAAAAGCGGACTCGCATGCAACTGAGAAGAATAGATAGCCATGCAAAGATGCACACTCATGTGAGAAGAAAAATTGGAGAGCAAAAAAACACAGTAGAAGGAGCAGCAACCATGATGTGCACACATAGAGACTTTCGTAAGTAGAAGAAGAAAACGCACAGAAAAAAAAAAAAGGAAGCCATGCTTGAAACCAGAGTCAGACATAAAATGAACAAAAAAAAGGGGAAGTACACAAACACAGCCACAACCCAAAAGAGACAAAACCAGAGACATATGCACTCATGCAGCAGATGAAAACATGCGAAAAGCTTCACTTTGCAGAGTAAGAGAGGCATGTTACAGAGAGAGTGCAAAAATAGAGCACAAAAAGAGGGATTCAAACTCAAAACTGGAAAAAAAGGGTGAAAGAAAAAAAAAGAGCATGGGAAGTGAGAATGGAGGAAAAGAGTGAAAGAAAAAAAAAAGAGCATAAGTAAGAATATATGAGAAACAGAGCAGAAAAAAAGGAGAGGGAGAGATAGAAAAAAATGAAAATCAGAGCACGAGATCGAGAAAGGAAAGCCTGAACAAAAACTGGACAAAAATGAAAAAACAGAGCGACAAGAGATGGAAAAAGAAGGAAAATAGATGTAGCATGAAGGAGAGAGAGACGGAGAGTGAAAGAGAAGGAGCAGCTGGGAACAAGATCCAAAAGGAAAAAGAGACGGAGAATGAGAGAAATGGTCACATGCACACAAGCAAAGAAAAAGAAAAAGATCGAGTGAGGCGTGAAGAAGATGAAGTCCATGAATAATAGCAGGAGCAACGATGGGAGTGGGAATAATATTGGTAGTAGTCAAAACTGGTTGGGGTTTTCTCTGCCACCTCACATGAAAATGGAGGTTACTTCTAGCCCCCCTTCATCATCACGATTATCATCAATATCATCATCAACCTCAAGCTTCTACTGCTACTATTTCTAGCTCTGTTCCAACAACCTTTTATCTATCACATTCTCAACTCAGTAGTTATGAGATATGTTATGGTGCGGTGGAGAACCCAGGCCATCATTCTTCATTGACCGCCATGCCTCTCAAGTCTAATGGCTTACTTTGTATAATGGAAGCTCTGTCTCAATCACAAACTCAAGTGATGATGCCGAATTCATCTCTAAAATTGGAGGACTTTCTAGGTGGTGCAACTATGGGGACTTATGATGCAATGGCCCTGAGCCTCGACAGCATCTACTATGGCAACCAGACTGCACAGGCTCAATCCAATAGAGACCATTCTCTTGACTTTCTTTCGGAGCCCTTCAAACAATAAGACCCCATCTCTGTTCAATCACATCCTTATTATTCTGGAGTTGCTTGCTGCGCTGTTTATCCATCACCATTGGAGCAATAAAGCAAGGACCCCCAATTGCAACCAATGTTCGAGGAAGGCATGACTTGCCTGAAAAACTAGGTGGCTTCAGACATTATAAAAGAAGGCTTCTCATACAGTAGTCAGAGGTGCACTACTGTCAAGTGATATCATTCCAGTTGTGTAGTCATTGACAAACTATATCGAAGGTCTTGTAATGGATGCTAAAGAGAAAGAAGCAACATCCTACCGGAGTACGAGAAGAGTGGGATTGATGCACAATGTCAGGTATAATTTTGTTCCATTCTTTATAATCATCTTTTACACACACAACTTGGTCATGGCTTTGATTTGTCTCTTTCTTTTTTAAAATTTTGTAGTTCTTTCAAAAATTTCTTATGCTTGCTTCATTCATTCAAATGATCATATTATTTTGGGAAAATTGAGAGTATGTATATGTCTAATATGGGACTATTGTTTGTTCATAAATAATTTCAAGACATCAACTTAATTTTGATTTCCACGAAAAATAAATTGGGTGATTAATGGTGGTGATGATATGTGAATCCTATTTATTCTAATTGTAAGATGCTATAATCATGACTCTCATTATTTCCTTTCGAAAGCCATATCTGAGCATTGAGCCAATTTGAAAAATCTTGAAGAATACATCCTTAAGTCAAAAGAGAGGATGAAGTTTCAAAATAGTTTCTTTCTCTGTTCCTTTGAATGCTAAATTCATATTATGCATTGCCTACAAATGCAAATATCTTGATTACCTATTTGTCGTGTGAGATTTTAAGAATTTCCATAGGCATTTAGAATGATCATTTATCACGTAAATCAATAAGATTTTGCGGGTATGAGAATCAATCTTACATGTATTAATATGGGTTCCAAATGCCCATTATTAAAATTAATTTTCTTTTTATAATAAATATTTAAGTCTCACGTGAGATTTTAAAAATCTTCGTAGAGAATTAATTTAATTGCCTTTTCATGTAGGATAATAAATCCTCACAGATATCGTGATTCACAATTTGTATAGTAAATACATAAACAAATTTTTGTAAATAAAATAATAAATATTTTTATAATATTAATTAATTAAATTAATAAATTATAATTATAATTATATTGTCTAATTAGATCTTTTGGTCGTGTGAGATTTTTAAAATTCTATAAACTTTTAGGATAATCGTATTACCATGAGAGTCAATAAAGTTTTGCAGGTATAACGATTAAGATTTTTATATTTAAAAATATACATTGTATAATTACGCATTAAAATACATTTAAAGTGAATATTATTTAATCATTTTATCATGTGAGACTTTGAATCTCTACAGATATTCAAGATAATCTCGTATCATGTAAATCAATAAGGTTTCATAGATATGAGAGTAAAACTTATATATTAATATGGATTCTAAAGGCCACCATTAAAATAAACTCTCTTTTTATAATATAAATTAATAATTTATTTAAGTCGTGTGAGATTTCAAGAATCTTCATAAAGACTTAAATTAATCACATTATCATGTGGGATAATAAGTCCTCGCAGATATAGTAATTCTCAATCTCTATAGTAAATAAATAATTTTTATAAATAATCATATAATACAAAATTTAAAAAAATTAATTAACAAAATTAATGCATTTAAATTGTAATCATATTTACCGATTATATTTTTTAGTCATATGAGATTTTTGAATCTCCGTAGACTTCTAAGATAATCATATTATCGTATGAGTCAATAAGACTTTGCAAATATAACAATTAAGTCTTTAAAATATATAAATTATATATTAAATCAATCAAATAAATTTAATTCTTTTATTGTGTGAGATTTTGGAATCTCCACAGATATTTAGGATAATCATATTATCGTATAAGCTAATAAGGCTTTGCAAGTATGATGATTAAAATTCTTTAAAAATATATATATACATGCTTAAACAAATTATTGCTAACACTTAAAAATATAAATAAATTAAATTGTTAAATTCTTTTATCGTGTGAGATTTCAGAATCTCTATAGATATTTAGAACAACTACATTACCGTATGAACTAATAAGGCTCTGCAAGTATAGCAGTTAAATTCTCAATCATAAAACATAAAAGAAAAATAATTTTAAACTCTTTTCTTTCCTTATGCCAAAAATTCAAAAATTGAAAAAATAATTAAAATTAAATTACTTTTTGTAATTTAAAACACCTATATCAAATTTCAGAAAATTATTTTATTTGCAAAATGGTGAATTATTTTAAATTAATTTCTTTTTTAAAAATATTTTCACCAACAACTTTCATGACCGAACTATGTCGACTTTGATCCCTATTACAGGGTACGTAGGCCTCAGAGTTAGATTTTGAATCAAGTCCTTTCTCGTAAATAAATAAATATTTCTCACTTAATTTTTATCATTTTATACCCACGTAAATATAAAAAGGATAATTAAAATAATTTTAAAACATATTAATATAACACAACAAATTTCAGGTAACTACTCTCACGAACAAGTGTTGTGGGGTGCCTAACACCTTTCCTACACTCAACCGACTTCCGAACCTATTTTCTATTTTTGCAGACCACATTTATCTTCCTTTAAATAATTTCCCAAGATTTACCTCAAAATCTTGGTGGCGACTCCTCATTCATGCGGTTCCAGTCGTAAAGGTCGGGACCTCCACTCGCACGCCGTCTGCGTCGTATTTTTTTAGGTGCAACAATTACCTTTCTCATATATTCAGTGTTGTTAATATTCTTTCATCAATAAATATTAAATGAAAGGCATTTTTTAAAATTTATATTTTTATCTTAAAAAAGTAAAGTTGTAAAGTGTATTTAATTAACATTATTGATACATGATATTTTGTTTAAAAATATTTTATAATTTGAGACGGAGTAATATCAATATAATGATGTTTATAACTTAAGGGATAGTGTGATATTTTGTTAAAAATTTTATTTTATATATTAATACTTGAGTGTCGGCAAGAAAAAGGGTAGGCAAACAGCTTGATAAACAATTAATGAGCATAGATAGTAGTTAGTGAATTCCCAACAATAATTAAAGATGATAAATATAATTAAATAAAGTTATCTAAAATTAATTTACAAACGATATTAAGTATCATCATTATTATAGATAATTAAACCTGGTAGCACAAAAGACATGTGAAGCAACACCTAGAGAGAAGAAAAAACCAGTCTCCAAATTAAACTCACTCAGAAGTTATTCCCAGAAACCACATAAGAAACACAACACAAAATACATAGGGCAAATCATAAAATACACCATGGTGATGCTTCAGTGATGTGCTTTTACATCCATACATACATATACACACATATATACATACATAATATATGTATACGCATGTATGTAATGTGTTTAGCCAAAAAGATGGTGGTGCTTCTTGCCATGAGCCTCTTCGTCGGCGTCCTTAGCTTCCTTCTTTTCATGGTGCTCGTGGAAGGCGAAGCCACCTGCTCCGACGGCAGCAACGGCAGCAACTTCCTCTTCTATCTTATGCTTGTGTGCATGTTCTGGATCTTTCTCTACCTTGTGCTTCTCATGCTATATAATTTCAAAAATTAATTTCTTCCATCAATGTAAATCCTCATGCATAATATAAAATATATAATAAATCATTCTATTTACACACTAAATGTAAATGATGAAATTTATTTCTCCACAAAGCCACCTAATTAAATTTCTTTTCTCATTTGAAAATTAATTTGTTAGCAAGTTTGATCTAATTGACCACTAGGGATTGGATTATATGCTCATCTCAAAGATGAGCATATTTAAACCATTCAGATTTTAATTTGAATAGTCCAGATTTAATGTATTATTAGATATTATATTTATTAAAATAAAAATTTATAAAAATTATAAAATAATTTTAATAATTTGTTTATTTTTAGTTTGGTCTAAATTTAATTTAGTGGACCTAATTTAATATTAAAATTTTTATAATTAATATATATTAATTATTTAAATGCACTCTACATGGTCCTGGACTATGTAGAATAAATCTGAATAATCAATATATACTAATTATAAAAATTTTAATATTAAATTAGACCTTCTAAATTAAATCTAGACCATATTAAAAATACAAAATTTATTAAAATTATTTTATAAATTTTATAAATTTTTATTTTAATAAATATAATATATAATAATATAATAATACTTTAAATCTAAACCATCTAAATCTTTAATCTGAATGGTCCAGATCTCATCTTATAGATGAGCACAGCGTGTTCATCCTTAGAATGAGTAAGGAAACTCAATCCTCGGCTGCTAAAGAAAAGCTTGATCTAATGGGATATATCGTATTGATAGTAATGAGCAATTTATCAAGATCTTCATATAATAACAATAAACACTTACTAATATTAAACAAGATTCAGCAAACAGAATCAGTAAGGGAAAAGAAACCAAATTAAATTAAATCACAGAGAATTGATTCAAGGCCAAAATACAAGCGATGACAAGATCCAAAGAAACAGAATGAGAGGAAAGAAGCAGAATCTATATATATAGTCAATAAAAAGTCATACTGTATTTATTATAATTAAATTATAAATAACATATCACTCATTTTAGATTCCGTATAAAATATGTTATGCACAATTTAATTATATTAAATCAGAAAAAAGGAATTAATTTGAATTCCAAACACACAGTTATCCATATCCTTATAAAACAAGATAAAAAAAAAACCTAGAATGTTCAATATATCATCAATCTATATTATATAATTAACTTTAGTTAGTAAGGATTTAATTCATAGCTTATGTAAGTTTAAATCCCTCTATTTGTAAGTACTTTGAGTTTGAAGACATGCCCTCCCTAACCCTGGTAAGTCTCAAGACCTAACTTGTCCAAACTTTAAATCATCAACAAAAATCTAAAGAAAATCTCCCATATTCATAAGTTACGAACGTGTGATTTTCGTCCGACTCCAGATGAAATTAATAAACAATATAGACTCACAGTGTAGTTAAATTTAAAAGAAAAATCAATTGATTTGAATTGGAAACACACATGATGAACCATATCCTAATAAAACAAGACCAAAAGACTGGGGAATAATAGTTAGAAGGAAAAAATAAGAAATTAAAATGAAGTGTATATGCATATATATATATATATATATATACCAGAGCATAAGCACCGGCAGCGGCAGCACCAAGCTCACTAAGGTGCTCGAGATGCTTATGGTGCTTCTCTTCTTTCTTGTGATCAACCTCCTCAGGAGGTTGACCTCCATAGCCACCTTCAAGATTCTCACCGCCGTAGCCGGCATCCACCGGCGGCCTTTCTTCACCATCCTTGTGGCGGTGGAACAAGTGGTGGTGGTGCTTCTCTTCAGCCATACTGTTTTCTGGTTATACTAATTACAACAAGAAAAGGAAGATGAAGAAGAAGATGATGATGAAGAAGAAGAAGAAGAAGCTTAGTGTGTGTGTCTGTGTATATGTTGAAGGTTGGAAGGTCTATTTATAATTGGCCATGTGTTGGAGAGGTGTTATTGGTCACAGATAAATGGACGGAGATAATTGTATGTGGATGGGTCCTCCACCATACTTGCTGAGTTTTCATGTGCATTTATTTTGTATTTAATATTTGATTAAGACTTTGCATCGCAATGGAGGACTCATTTCCTTTATTTTAGCCATTGGATTTTTTTTTTCCCAATGTTTGATCTAAACCAGCAATAATGAATCCAGTGGTGATGATTAGAAGATGTCATTTTTACTTTTTCCAACAATAAAAATTTTAATTCAACTTAAATATATCTAATTAATTAATATTAAAAAAATTGACAAGTTACACTAGTAATATGGCTATTTTTCAGACTTCGTCAAATGCACGAGATCTGTATTGATTGTAAAAAAGCAAGGCAAAGGCTCAAGTCCGCCCCTCACCCCCCCGACCTTTTTGACTTTTTTACATGTGAAAAATGAAGATTTCAAAAGTCTAGAGGCACTTGTGACAATAATAGAAAACTTCTAGTTGAATAATTGTTAGTGAATATTTATTTTTCTATGAATATCTTTATGTCTTTTTACTATTTTAGTTTGAAACTATCCAAAATTTTAAGATTGTCATTCCACACAATTTTTTTTTTACTGAATGAGAAAATTTACAATTTTTTGTTGAACTATTGTCAAAAAGTTAAAGTATACTTTTAACCCTCTAACTTTATATCATAATATATTCAATTTGATCCTCTAATTTTATAAAGTATCTTTTTAATCATTTAACTCTTACATTTTTAGTTTTAAACTATTATGTTTTGTGTCAATCACTTTTATTTTGAAAAAGTTAAACTTAATATGTTAATAGTTAAGAATTTTTTGTCAAGTTTTACTAATAGTATTAACTTTTTTTTAATTTATATTGTTTGCATTTTCTTGTATCAATAAACATTAACATATCACTTAAATATTTTGTATTTAAAATATGATCAATATTTTTTAAAAAAATAAAATATTATAAGGGTGTAACTTTGTCATATTTCAATTAAAAATGTTGATAAATTAAATAAAAATATGTAAATTTTCTTCTCGTTTTACAGCAATAACTTCAACTAATGAAGTAAATTAAGGTGAACAAATTCATATATTAAAAAACAATAATAACAAAGAAATAGGGTTATTAGACAACAAAAAATTGGCACATGTCAACAAATCTTACAACATTCTTTTATACATCCACACTCAGTTAATTAATACTAACTTGAACTTGCCTACATATATAGCTTTTAGTTAAATGCATAAATTTAGACGGTTGCATCCACACAAATAGGTTCAAATTTATTACCTCTCTCTCTCTCCCACGTGCGCACGGGCACATGCGCACACGCGAGCAGCTTCAATCGCATGCACATGGACAAATCTAAAGACATTTTTTCTTTAGTTTTATCCACAAAGTGATGATTTTAATATTTTTATATTAACCTAAGAAATCTATATTTTTTAAGCTAAATTATGATCTATTATAAATTTTTTGATGATTATTTCTTGCGAAAATTAAAATTATATTAAACATATTTTTAAACTAAAAATTATATGTTCAACAAAATATTACAAGGGAAAACTATTTAAAATTATCGAAGTTATTTAAAATTCTTTAAATTGGAATTAAAATGATAAAATAATAATTTTAAATATTTTAACATAATTTCAATTAATAAAAATATATATTTTTGAATCTTTATTGAAATATTTTTTATGGTAGTAAAAAAATAGATCAAAGTATAAGTTTTAAAAGGGTTTAACATGCAATTTGGACCTTAAATTATAGGTTCATGGATGATTTGAATTCTAAACTTTAGAAAGGTACATTTTTAATTCTAAATAATTAAAGTTGAGACAATTTCACCCCTATTGTTAACTTTCAACAAACGTTTGTCAAATTCATTTGAATGAAATTGCACTTTATGCCTCAATCTGTTAGAAATTTGTCAAAAGTTAACAGTAGGGACAAAATTACCCCAACTTTAATTGTTTAAGGTTTATAATGTACCTTTTTAAAATTTTAGGGTTCAAGTCACCCCTGAACCTATAGTTTAAGGTCCAAATTACATATTAACTCTTTTGTATGTTAAAAAATGCATTCTAATCAATAATAATTCAACAGTAACAAAAAAAAGTGTATTTTTCATATTATATCAATTTTTAAAAAGATTGTGAAAGAGTGTATAAGTTTTTTGGTTTGAATTAATCGACGAAGGTGAAAATTTATAAAACAGAACCAAATGCTTTTATGATAAATAAAGAGATAGAGAAAAAAGTGTATAAAGAGGAATCAATTTTAGATTTTTTTTCTTAACAAAGAATGATAATATTTTTTTCACTGATATTATTATGAGATTCCATTACGTGAAACAACAAACAAGAAAAAAAAATATGAAAGTGCACTTGTACTGAAATATTATGTTACACTTTTATTGCTACCACTTACAGCATATCAAAACCTCAGCTAGCAAGAACAAAAATCTTCAACTCAATACGGTCCCATTCATACCCACCATAATCTCTACCAAAAACTATTTTACTCACTATTACAATTTACAGGCTACAGCCTTCTCCTATATAATTTCATCATCATCATGATTATTATTATTTATTTATTTTAATTCTTTCTTCTCATATCTTGAGAAATTTATAATATTATCATGGGTTAATATGCAATTTGACCTCCTAAATTATAGGTCCAGAGGTAATTTGAGTCTTAAACCTTTAAAAAGGTATATTCTAAACTTTAAATAATTAAAGTTGGGGCAATTTTGCCCCTGCTGTTAACTTTCAACAAAGATCTATCAAATTGGGGTCTAAAGTGCAATTTTTCCCAAACAAATTTGATGGATATTTGTTAAAAGTTAATGATAGGGATAAAATTGCTTCAACTTTAATTGTTTGAGTTTCAAAATGCTCATTTTTAAAGTTTAAGGTTCAAATTGCTCCTGGATCTATAATTCAAGATCTAAATTGCATATAACCCTTTTAAAAATAGAAAACTATTTATGTAATTTTATCAAAATTGAATGAAGGTTGTTGTATTTTTCTCATAAAATTAAAAATAAAATATTTGTTTATACTTTAAAAGCTTGGAATTCTATTATTTATTATTTTAATTTATTGTTTAGAAGTTGGATATGTAATGTAATAAAGTTAAACTTAATTTAAAAAATAAATAAAATAAAAAGGGGCTCCATTTCAATAAGGCTAACTTCAGGTAACAATCAAATTTAGAATAATAGATATTCAAAGCCTAGTCTATATAGGTCAAATCTACCTGTTTTTTATTTCTATGTAATAAAATAATTTGGATTAATATAATTTTTAGTCCCTTATATTTGGGATTTGGTCACTGAAGTTTAATTTCTATCAATTAAATCATGAACACTTGCTTCAGTTATAAATTAGTAAAATGTACACTTGGATAAATTATTACACATAAACCATAACCAAAAGAAAATTAATACACATAAACTAAATCTTCAAATCCTAATTCCTTATGTGCTATCGATTTCCCTATTTTATTATTCCTAATTTTTCAAATCATCATTTTTACTTGGGAGAGTGATAGTAAAGTCTAAAAAGAAAAAAAAAACAATAAATAAGTCCCAGATAAATTTTTTTAAAATTATTTGCAAATATTGATTTAAAAAGACATTCCAATTTCAAATTGAGAGCTGCATTTAGAATTATAAATAATTTATTTATAAGTAGTAATCTTGAATTTGCAATTATTTGAGTTTGATATTACAATTTATTTTTCAAAAAAAATTTATTGGAAACCTAACTATTATTAATTTCTTCATCTTGGACTTAGCTATCATTCTCCTTTCTTACTTCCCACATTATTAATTTACATGGCTGTTACACTATAATTTTGTTAGCCATGTGTAACATTCAAAAACTTTAACCTTGATTAAAAAGCTAAATTAGGGTAATTTAGTAAATTAATGTAGTGTAAGGCCAAAGAGGTCTAACAAGCATTTTTTATTGTTATTTCAGTCCTGAATTCAGGTTTAAAGGGAAGTCAGGTTACCTGTACCTCAAAAAGGGAGGAAAATCAGAGGATTATGAGATTGTGCCACATGTTGTGACGTGCAACACATCCATTATGATACACAAGCAACAGATCACAAAAGATGACCTCTCTATGCCATGCGTCACAGCCCGCACTGCATGCACCACGATGCATGGTTGAAAATTTGCAAAAATAAGTCTACATCATAGTTGTAAAGGGAGAAAGAAACAAATAAAAAATGACAAGCTTAGGATTTCCTCTGCTAGGGTTTGCAAATTTGAAGAGTTAGGAGCATTTCTAAGCCATCTAACACCAAAAAGATTCCTAAGCTCCTTCCTTCTCTCCCTCTTCCATTTTCATAAAGACTTGAGTGAGGGCTTGTAGTTGGGACTTGGAGTGAATTTTCAAACCTATAGGACATTGGGTCCAAACCTATTGATTAAAATAGAATTAATAGGAGTTGTTTAAGTTATTTAAATCTAGCATTTATGGCTTTATGAGTTTTCGCAATGGTAGGGCAATAAATACCAAGTATTTATGGAGATTGTTGGGAGTATTTAATGGCCACTAATGATAGTTAGATATCATATTAAAACCAAGGTGAGTTAAAGAAAGCTAATAAACCCTATAGGTATCCTTGTATGTGAGGAAATCGAGTTTTGAGAATTTGGAAGTGTTGAGTTAGATATTAAAAGTTTATCTTAATGAGGATGTTGATGATTGTTGATGTGATTAAATATAGATTAATCACAATTTAAAATCATTCAAGTTTGGAATAGCTTTGGAAGTATGTATTTGAATGGTAAACTTTTAACTTCTCAAAGGTTTGAGGTAACTGAAAGAAATCTTCTTATGTTTTTGTGTGTTAATTGATTATTTTGATTTGTAAGCTATAAATGTAAGTTGTGAAAATTGTTTACCATGGAAATGTTGTT